ATTCATGGGTCTATTGTGATTTAACATAACAAAATCAAAATAATGACTGCACCGTGGCTTAGTGGTTATCACTGTTGCGTCACAGCAAGAAGGTCGCTTGTTCGATTCTTGGCTGGGTCAGTTGGCATTTCTGTATGGAGTTTGGATGTTCTCCCTTTGTTGGCGTGGCTTTCCTTCGGGTGCTCCGGTTTCCTCCACAGTCCGAAGACATGCGCTAAGGGTGAATTATATAAGCTAAATTGGCCTTAGTGTTTGGATGTGTTTGGGTGTTTCCCAGTACTGGGTTGCAGCTGGAAGGGAAGCCGAAGGAAAATTAATGATGAAATCAAAATATTAACTTTTTGCATTAATTTTTACTAATAATGCTTTTTCTTCATAAATTGAAAGATCTGTTGGAATTTTGTTATGGTTTTGTAGCATGCCTTTTTTCACATCTTCCGCTTATTGATTGTTTTATCTTGCATTATTCTTATTAATAAACCACTTCGGATAAGAGCGCAATTTGTTTCAAATTCTGACACATTTGGCATTGGCTACTGACCTAATTCTATTCCATTAAGGGACATTTTCATATAAACAACTGAAACTGTATATTTGACTTGAAGGCAAATGGCTGTTGTTCTCTGTATTGTTTTTCTTTGTAACCTTCCTTTTTCATATGAAAATGGCAATGGATTATTTCAAATTATTGTTATTTTTTTAAAAGGTCATACTTGACAAAGGTCAATCAAATGGTCTAATGAGATTAAAATGTAAGGTATAAATAGGAATGTGTCTTTTTTACTTTTTTGTCTTCCTAATACCAGATGTAAACAGGTCCTAAGTTTATTGGTTCAAGGGTGTAAGGTGATTAAGTGCTTGCAAAAGAGTCATGTCTTCACAAGTTCTTTAAAGTTTTGGAGACACTGTACCTTATCATAAAGTCAATGACTGCTGTTGATTGAATTAAAGCATATACAGTGCACCCAAAAAGTATTCATAGCGCTTCACTTTTTCAAAAATTTTCACGTTACAGCCTTATTCCAAAATGTATTCACATTTATTTCCTCAATATTCGTCACACAATACCCCATAATAAAAAAGATTTTTTGAAATTGTTGCAAATTTATAAAAAAAAAAAAAAAACTGAAAAATCACATGCACATCAGTATTCACAGCCTTTGCCGTAAAGCTCTAAATTGAGCTCAGGTACACTGTTTCCCCTGATCATTCTTGAGATGTTTCAGCAGCTTAATTGGAGTTCACCTGTGGTAAATTGAGTTGATTGGAGATGATTTGAAAAGGCATACACCTGCCTATATAAGGTCCCAGGGTTGACAGTGCTTGTCAAAGCACAAACCAAGCATGAAGATAAATTAATTGTTTGTAGTCCTCCGAGAAAGGATTGTCTCGAGGCACAAGGCTGGGGAAGGTTACAGAAAAAATTCTGCTGCTCTAAAAGTTCCAATGAGCACAGTGGCTCCCATCATCCGTAAGTGGAAGATGTTTGGAACCACCAGCGTTCTTCCTAGAGCTGGCCGGCCATCTAAGCTGAGTGATCAGTGGGGGGAGAAGGGCCATAGTCAGAGAGGTGATCAATAACCTGATGGTCACTCTGTCTGTGAGCCTAGAGCCTAAACCTAAATCCTATTTAACATCTCTAGAGAGATCTGAAAATGGCTGTACACCGTCGCTACCCATCCAACCTGATGGAGTTTGAGAGGTACTGCTAAGAGAAATGGGCAAAATTCCCAAAGATAGCTGTGCCAATCATATTTAAAAAGACTTGAGGCTGTAATTGCTGTCAAAGGTGCATCAACAAAGTATTGAGCAAAGGCTGTGAATACTGATGTACATGTGATTTTTTTTTTTTTTTTTTTTTTTTAGGGTTTTTATTTTTAATAAATTTTCAACAATTTCAAAAAATCTTTTTACATTGTCATTATGGGGTATTGTGTGAAGAATTTTGAGAAAATAAATGAATTTAATCCATTTTGGAATATGGCTGTAACAAAAATATGGAAAAAGTGAAGCGCTATGAACACTTTCTGCATGCACTTCATTTGTAGAAATGAAGTGAAATGGTAGAGGTGCTGTTCCTGTGGAAGATTATAACATTTTATCTTAAATAAATCCAAGCTTTGGACTTTTTTTTTAATGAGGATGACAATTAAATTCCTAAGACCCTCAGGTATTCACTGAAAATGCAGTTTTATCCCACAAATGGAAACAGGCCTCTGCAGAATCACAATTTGATAGATGGTGCAGGAAGGCTGGGACAACAGAAATGCTGTCCTCCCATGCCGAAGTATGCTACTTTGACTTCATCAGAATTCAAACCTCAGCTAAAATGGCATGTGGGGGGGTGGCATGTGGATGAGTGAACAGAACTGGAATGTCCTATGAGAAGTTTGAGTAAGACTGGTCTTCTCTTTACTGGATTTTCCCTGTGGCAGAGAGGTCATTGAGATGCCAATGCAGACAGGACGGTCTGATCTCTCATGGCAACTTGGACTGTTTCTCTTGCATGTGGCTCTTTGAAGTGCATCGGAGTGTTTTTTGAAGTGCATTGAGGGTGTGTGTAATTGATTGGACTGGCAGGCTCTTTGCAGATTATTCCACATGGCAAGGCTGCTCTTAGCACACAACAGCAGACTAAATATATACCCTTCAATGCCCATCTTTGAAATAAACTCTAATACACCAATTCACAATATATGCAATGTGCTGCTAATGCTTGCTTGCCCTTTTTTTTAGAAGTTTTGTTTTATGTTATGGCCTTTAAAGTTACAGTATGTAATATTAAAACATTAATCATGTTGGTGACATGGATAATTTAAAGAGCTAGAAACCTAAAAGTTGTTTGTTCGATCCCTGCAAAGAGCGCTATCATTATTGTGCAATTTGTTTTTCAACTTGTGTGAAGTTAAGTTTGCATTGTAGATGAACTGCCACAGACTAAACGGCAAAAACATTACATTTTAAACATTTAATTTCGAACCTTCCGGTGGAGAGAGTGTTTGCTGGTGCTTGCTGGTGTTGAGGTTATGCTACAAAAAAAAATATTAAAAACGAAAGAACGATAAAACACCAAAAAAGATTACCACACAGATGGAGGAGGTTGATGATATCAAGCGATCGCTGGATATGTTGACAGAAGAAGTCTCTGTTGTTAGACAACAGCAGAAGACGATCATGGGCCTGGTGGAGGAAGTGAAAGCCTTGAAACTACAAAACATTGTAAAAGAAAAGAAAATACATACATTTTTGTATGTAATGACTCAGGTAATGAAATGAGAACTATTAGTTTTATGAATATTCAGTATTCACAAGTTAAGTTAATCTTGACTGACATGACATTAACAAATAATAATGTTATAAAAGAGCAGAGAGTTATATGAAAGCAATTGATGCATGTCCAAAGGCATTTGCAATCTGTTGGAAAGAATGATAGACTGCTACTATGATGTGCACAAATGACAATTTGTTTTGAGAAATGCATTAACTGTTGTGCAAATGTAAATAGTGTTGTGAGAAATGTATCAAAGCAACTGAGAAAAACTGTAATATGGAAAACAAACTGTGGCTGGCTTTGTTGCGTCTCCTGTTTTCAAAAGAAGAGTCCTACATTAAGTACATAGTAAATGTGATATAAACTTTAATGCAGTTAAAAATAAGGGAGGGCTTTATTAAAAGGCTTCCTTCTAGTGGAATTTCTGAATAACTAAAGTAAAAAAATGAACATACTTTAACCCTTTAATGCGTACGATAACACCAATGTGATCAGTAAATTTTTTTTAAAAGGCTGAACCTTTTATTTTATTTTCAATTTTCTAATGTTAGTTATGTAATCTCCTCCACATATTTGTAACGGTTGTTGGGGGCGTATTTCGTATTTTTATATCCCAATGTTGACAGGTATGGTTTAATCACTTGCTTTTATGACACACAAAGCCTACTCTAACGCACAGTAAGCAGATTTAATTTCTAATTTAAATATGTAAATCCAATTCCTTTATTTAAAATATAAGTTAATGTTTAAATTTCAAAGATATACAAATAATTTATATATACATTCAACATATATTTCAAAATGTATCAAAAAGAGTTCATATATGAATATTATGACATATAGCTTATATTTATGAGGTCCAAGGAACATTACCAGGTTTTGATGGATAGGCTACTTTTTGTTAATGCTTTTAAGTACAGCTGTTTACTTTTTAAGAACAGTGCCACATATTGATTTAAACTGTGACTCTTTATTTCTTTTTAATTGTAAGCACAGTACAATCTTAATGTTCAAACTATTTATAATGTTTAAAGTGGCTGACAATAATAAATATTCATAATAAGAAGACTTAATCTGCCACGCTTTTGCACTGTGCAGTGATGTAGCTGCTTAATAAAGCCTACTGCGCTACTGTATTTTAATACTGGTCATTATGGTGGTGCTTGGAGAGACACGTTTTTCCTGAGGTGGTATTTGGTGGAAAAATTTTGAGAACCACTGAGCTAACCCAATGTAATTGTATGTTGTTTGGCTGATTACAATCCACATGAAACACCGACAACTTCATTTTTGAAAAATACATGTAAACAGTTTATGCACACTTGATCAACATTTTGCCCTCCATCCTGTAGTTGCTAAAATTGTTGAATGCCACACACACAAAAAAAAAAAGTTTTGACCATCTTGTCACTGTAAAGCATTGCAAATTAAGAATATTACATTAGGTGAAAATACACTTCTCTATGCCTAGTTCCTAGAACAGAGTTCTGTAACTACCTGTTGAAAAAAGCCCATCGAGATACAAAGATTTTTTTTTTTTGAAAAGCAACCTGTGGCTATACTCTGAGTACAATGAGAAATTTAAGCTGTGACATCAACATGTTCATGTGTTTTAAAATGATGAAGCTAGTGTAATTATGACCAACAGAATAATCTATTTTACAGGATAAATGACATCCATGCCAATTACAAAATCTTTATTCCTTGTCCACTGTTTTTCTCTCTACAGAGTGTGTGTCCTGGTCGGGTGTTCACCATGGCTCTAGTTCAGGCACTGCCTGTACCCACTGATCACCCAAAGCCCAGTACTGACGTCCAGCAGTGCTGCTCAGTGTCTCACTCCCCCACAGTAGATGTCACTGGCACCATGGGTTCTGTCAGCAGCCTCATCTCTGGACGTACCTACCAGGAACGCCACTGTCGAGCCGCCAGTGACTTTGGTGCCAGATATCGCAAACCCACACCAGCTACAAGCTGTTTTCGACAACAAGAGGGCACACTGCGCAGCTCCAGCTCACAGGAGCAGCTTCTGAACAGTCAGCCTCCTCTACCCGCTAAGAACAAGTCTTCTGCCCTCATCTCGGCTGGCAATGGCAACTATGGCTATTTGAGTGATGAGCCAGTGGGTGATTGGAATGATAATCACGTGAGCACATGCAGCCCATCCAGTGACACTGAAGAACCTTCTGATAACAGAGGCATGAATGGTAACATCGGTGGACCTCCGCCAAAACTCGTCCCAGTGTCAGGCAGGTTGGAAAAGGTAAGTCTTGGAGTTGATCAGTTGACATTTGAAAACAAAAATAATACAATAAATTGTAAATTAGTGACAATGTATTTAAAAAAAAATTAAGATATAAAGTGAACCAAAATGCAGTAACCAAGAATACAATCAGGCAGGGTTTGTAAAGTTATTTCTAGAAGTATACATGATTTTTTAATTGATATCATGCAGATATTTTTCAAAAGAGACTTACTGTAAAAAACTGTTTTAGTTAATTTAACAGTGTTTAAACCCTGGACATTTCTTAAAGCATTTTCTTTCTAATGTGACCCACTGTTTCGTTGTTGAGGTGTCATTTAATTGTTTTAGTATAAAGAATGGCGGCTGACAATTCACACATCTATTCAGCTTTTCCTTTCCAATGAAGAAGGAGAGCATTTAAATACTGCAAAACGTCAATATGCCATCACTCACCATACACATTTAATCAATGATACCTCATTACACTTACAACACTAAAAGATGGTGTTCTTGGAGGTTTAATGCATTTAATATTTTTAAGATACACATGTGAAATGGCATCTGAAAAAAAGCTTTGCCAAAAAACTAAGCACCAAAAAACAATGGCAAAAGCTTTGCCATTTTGTCTTTCTATATTTTTGATTAATAAATGCTTGGTGAGCATTAGAGAATTCAATTTTGTTGAACAGTTTTGGTATACGGTTAAGATTAACCATTTACTTTTGACGACAGAGTATGGAGAAAATACTGATCCGGCCCACTGCCTTTAAGCCTGTTTTGCCAAAGAACCGCAACTCTGTGCAGTACCTGTCTCCAAGATCAGGAGGCAGTCTGTCTGAAAGCCAGGGCAGTCTCAATCTCCTGCTTCCTGGCACTGGAGCAGGATCGGGCTGTCAGGAGAAGCGCAACTCATACAGTGGGGGACGCAATGCACGGAGTAGCCAGTCCTGCACCATGTCAGACTCAGGCCGCAACTCCCTCTCCAGCCTACCGACCTACAGCAGCACAGGGTACAGCCTGACACAGAGTGAGGTACCTAATGGGCACATGGAAACCACACGCTCTGGCGTTGGCCACGGACACTCTAATTCTGACAGTGGACGATCCTCATCCAGTAAGAGTACAGGGTCTTTAAGTGGGCGTGGCCAGCCCCTCTCGGACAGCGGTTCATGTGGCCGCTCCCCAGCTCCAGGAGAAGGATATGAAGGTGTCATTCGGGAACTTGAGGAGAAGCTGAGGGAAAGAGACTTGGAGCTGCAGCAACTCAGGGACAACCTGGATGAAAATGAGGCAGCCATATGTCAGGTAATGATCCTAGATTTCTACCAGTTTTTACAACAGTTTGACAGGAAATTATCATACACGATACAACTTAAATCATCTGTATTCTCAATGCAGGTGTATGAGGAGAAACAGAAGCGCTGTGAGCAAGAAATGGAGGATCTTCGGCAGAGCTGTGCATCAAAAATGAAGCAGGTGCAGCTGAAGGCACAACGTGCTCAGCAGGTTCTACAGTTGCAGGTGTTTCAACTGCAGCAGGAGAAAAAGAAATTACAGGAGGACTTCTCCCAACTGCTGCAGGAACGGGAGGCATTGGAAAAGAGATGTGCCTCCTTTGAGAGGGAGCAGACTCAATTTGGCCCTCGTCTAGAGGAGACAAAGTGGGAGGTGAGGCCTTTTTGCTGTGTGGACATATAAAAGACTATTACATTCAGCTGGTTTTAAAATGAATGTTTCTGTGTTGCAGGTGTGTCAGAAATCAGGGGAGATCTCTTTGCTAAAACAGCAGCTGAAGGATGTACAGGCAGATCTTGGCCAGAAGGCCAGTGAAATTGTTGCTTTGAAGGCCCAGTTGAGAGAGGCTCGTTCTGAGCTTCAAGCTAGCCAGGCTCGCTCTCAGGAAGCCCACGCCACAGCTCGCACACGCACACTTGAACTGGAGGTTTGCGAAAATGAGTTGCAACGCCGTAAAAGTGAAGCTGAGCTCCTTCGGGAGAAGATGGGTCGTTTGGAAGAAGAGTCCCTTCGTCTTAAAGAAGCTATGGCTGTGCCCACACCCCAAACTCTTCCTTCTAAGGGCCAATCCATGAGCTTGCCACTCCCCCAAAGCCGTGGGGGGATTGGTCATGGGATAAGCCCTGCTTTCCGGGACAACAGCAGTGAAGAGCAACTTCTTGCATATGAGAGTGATGAAGCAAAGGCACAGCGCCAGAGCGTAGATGTGCTTCATGGTCTCCGTCAGCAGGTGGACCGCCTTCGGGCAGAGCTGATGTATGAGAGGAGGCGAAGCGAAGACCAGCTTGAGGGCTTTGAGGATGAACGCAGGGTGTGGCAGGAAGAAAAAGACAAGGTGATTCGTTACCAGAAGCAGCTGCAGCAGAACTACATCCAGATGTACCGCAGAAACCGCGACCTTGAGCGTGTGATGAGGGAACTTAGTCTGGAGCTGGAAAACAGGGACATGGAGGAGTTTGACATGCGTAGCAACGAGATCCATTTTGAAGAGATAACTGCCACTGAAATCTAACCCACATCTCCACTGTGCTTGTAAGAAGCACCAGTCTTCTTCACTGCAGTGTCATTTGGCATGCTTCTATATACTATTTCAAAAAGAATAATGTTCAAGCCGTTATTATTGTCATATCCACAGAGGCCAATAACACAGGGAATGTTTGTATTTAGACATCTTTATGATCACTTCCTGCCTCAGAAACCTGTGTGGGACCTCAGATGAATGTACAATTACTGTGTCCTGCAGTTAATTGGTGCCACTGGCGAAGGGAAGGATGTACTCAAAGATGGTGCGTTGTTCCTAGTTCCTTTTCCCACAAAAAATTCACGAAAGATACGTTTTAACCATTCTGAACGACAATAAGTTGCAATGAACAGCAAGATGTGACAGAGCAACCAAAGAAGTTTATAACATTGCATGCTAGAATGCATCTTTTGTGAACTACATGGAAACTGCTTGTCAAGCCTAACTGCTACAGTAAATTGGCTACTGTGGGCTGCAGACAATGAAAGGCTTATCTTTAATTAAATAGGACTAACAAGAGAATATATAATACTTTTAAGAGTTTCTATTGAATACTCCAATAATAATGTAACATTTTGTTTCTAGTTAAAAATTGATTGGCAGCCTTAATTACAATCTCTCCTTAGCTAAGCTAAATAACTTACACACAGAAAAGACTTGGCAAAAAAAAAAAAATGAAAAATACAATGACTAAAACCCCTTTTCCACCAAGGCAGTTCCAGTGCTGGTTCAGAGCCAGAGCCTAGATCCAAATCAGTTCTTTATCTTTTGCCACATATATGACCAGCTCTGAACCAAGACAATGGTACTTAATGCCGAGTTTAGACTGCACGGTTTTCAAAGTAGTCGTGTCACAATTGACTATCTGGGGCAGCGTTCTGTCGGTGCTGTGCTTACACTGCAAGATGGATCAATCAAACTTTTTGGCCCTTTATAAGAAAAAGTTTGGGCACCCCTGCTCCAATGGAAAAGCAAATCAGTACTTAGAAGGCTCATCAGACGAACCAGCTTCGAACCAACAATAGCACTGACTCTGAGGCCCAATCCCAATTCTACCCCTTAGCCCTTCCCCTTAACCAATTTTCTTTAGCTTGAAGGCATAGGGCTTCAAGGGGAAGGGGAAAATAGCCCTTTAAATGTAGATTTTTTAGGACCACACTCAAAACCAAGGGGTAAGAAAATTTCCCAGAATACACCAGCCACAACAGGCGCATAGCTGCACCTGCAGTAAGGGGATCGACAAATTAGTATTTTTTGTCATTATTACGAATTTTTAAAACAAACAAGCATATGTTTTAATATATTCATAACCGCGTATGTGTTTTGCTGTCATGCTTTAAAAAAAAACGCTAAAATAAAACCTGCTAAATTTGGCTATCTATAATGCATAATAATATTTCCTATACAGCAGTCCCACAACATTCTGACACTCGACACTCGAATACCTTGTCAGTAATGTCTAGTGGCTTGGAATGATCTTTTTACAGTGTCTGCTATAATGTTAATGTTGTTTTTTATGGTGAATATATGGTATATGGAAAATATGGTGAATGATGAATATGGCCCCTGTGTAAATGCGCAGTACAGTTATGATTTTATTGCCACATTAGATCGTTATGATAACATAATATATGCCTTCAGGGATTTCTTGAAGATAAATACCAAAAAAAGAACACAACTGGAATAACTATAGCAGCTGCAATCGCCTGATCTCATATAAAGCAAGTGATTGCAATGACGTGTGCAGGTGCATTTCTTAGGAGTTCATTTTGAAGCCCTTCCCCTTCACACTCGGTTTTAAGGGACAAGGGGAAGGGGTACAAAAATATAATTGGGATTGGGCCTAAACTAAACCTAAACTGGTTTCTGATGGTGGAAAATGGATATATGAGGCCTAAAAACTGATGGAAAGAATTACAGCACGCAGGCCAAAGGTTTCGTAGAGTTCCTCATACCTTGTAATGAGCACACTACTCACTTCGCCCATCAAACCAGCATTAACACTGATGGGAAGAATTTGTATGTTCAGTTTTGTTGCATTCATTTGTGCTGTTGTCACTTTGCTGGTGTTGAGTCCTCAGTAACATTGTTTCATTTCTTCTCAGCCGTTTACGGCTCTATGCAGCGAGAACTGTTTCCTCTCATCTCACAGCCCTGCTGCTTATACTACATTTGATACTAATCATTGATGTAGAAGTGTTATTTTTTTTAATTAGATGATATATTAGCAGATGTAACTAGCAAATATAGAGGCAATACATATATATTTTTTTTCTTTTTGAGTATTGCCATGCACACTGTACAGAGTGAACAGCATGTGTGCATGACACCGTAGCGTTTCTGTGGCCAGACAGTCTGGCATTGAGTTGTGTCACAAAGGTCAACTAGTTAGATTTTCCAACCGATTCTGCTAAGTAAATGACATAGTTGATGAATGCATAGATATTATTTTGCATACAATCTAAGAATTACTAATCAAACCTTTGTGCTCACTTTGTTTAAGGGATATATATACACTATATAAACTATGTTTTTACAAGAACAGATTCTTTAAAGCAAAATATAAATAAATGAAGATATGAATATATGATGTATATTTTTTATATGTAGCACCTCAAGTTTTTTTGTGGTAACACAAGTAAGTTGGTGGGTTCAACAAATATCAGTTTGTCCAGAAAGATAATTTTCCATTAGCACTTCATACAGTATTTCAAACAGTAGCTGGCATTTGCATATTGTCACGGGGCGTTCTTTGTTAGCAATAATGCATAATTACATAATCAGTTTTGAGTGTGCTGTGGAAAAAGAGGCAAAACCACTTGCCTGATCACTTTTAGGCCATGTTTACACCTGGTATATGCACTTTCACAAGCAACTAAAGAAGATCTTATTTACATCTGGGGCCTCATGTACAAAGACTTGCGTTGAATTATTACAAAAACATTGCATACGGACAAAGCTGTAAATGTGGGTACACAGTAAAAAAACAGATGTTTGAAACACTGCGTACATGGAATCTCATGCATATTCTCTTTGTACATCTGATCTAATGGGAAATAAGCGCAAAACCCCTTCTTTCCTCCTCCTCCCCTGTATAAATATGATAATGACTCCACAAAACCAAAAGAAAAAGCAGTGGCAAAAGCAAGCAAGAAGAGAAATGTCACAGAATGTGAATTGAAGGTGGTCCTTTTAGAGATAGACCGGAGAAAAAACTGTTGTTTGCAAGTTTGTCCTCCGGAATTAATAGCAAAAGAAAAAATAGAGTGCAAGAGTTTAGCTGACGCGGTTAACGTAGTGGGGTCTGAACATCGCACTGTGAACAAATTAAAAAAGACATGGTCAGATCTAAAGGTGCAGGTTAGGAGGAGAACAGCAGCGCACCGTCAAAGTGTGAATCGAACAGGCAGGGGAATCCCTGTCTGTGTGAGACACAGATGAATTAGAGGAATAATTTTTAGGGCGGTATAGCAACACCCTTCCGCTCTTATCACGGCAGTGCCACCAGCATTTCAGCTGCCCAATTGCCCGCTCTACAACTGATTGAGTGAGAGAATGGGCATCATTGTATCTGCGCTCTTGGTTAGTTTGTGGGTTGTTAAGGGGGGGTTAACAGTCACGTCTTTAATGGATAACCACGGTCTCCTGATATGCAGTTAAATAATTACGCTCAATAGTATTAAAAAAACTTAGCTAGAAGCCACCCATTGCGCACCCTGCCACCTTGGAGCCTCCTCGCTGTCTCTCTTTCCAAATCTGGACCCAACTCAGCACAGAACTCCAAGAGGATAGCTCTTGGAAATCTGAAACAGCTAATAAGCCAGTCATCATCGTGGGCCAAAAAATTAAACACAAAATTGTTTGCTGGGTAGTTCTTTTTTGTTCAACTTTAAACCAAACTTGACATCAGACAGCCGTTTTAAACCCTGTCTGGCTTCATGCTCAAACAATGTCCTCTAATGTTTAAGAATTAGGTCAGAGAGTAGGTGGTCTTTTATGCTTGCTTAAACACATTCAAGCAAATGAGTGCTTACACTAGGTAATCTGACTGAATGCGTTTGATGGCCTTTGAAAAAGCCGAAAATGGACAAGCTCAAAACACTTCAGCCCCTATTTAGATTTGTTTTTATCATTGTCGGCTTGTGATCAGATAATGCATCTTAATACCAGGTGTAAACAAGGCTTTGTAATCAGGGAAGACCAAATCTGACGATAAAACATCAAGAACTTTGACTTCAAAAGTAGCTGTTTCAGCCAAAGATAATCTGTTGTGCATTTTGCAGATTCTCTTCAGCAGCCTATAGTCAATACATGTTCACATTCTTTACTCAGTGCTTCCTTTTATATAAAGCAATATAATACTACAGTAAAACAAACACTATTTATGTAATGATCATTTTTGTATTCCTTTCATCAAATGCCAAATGATTCCTTTCAGTAGCTGTCAGAATGGCTCACTATGATTGGTCTTGATTAATTCTGACCATTTCTAACCACCTGAGGAATTGTCTCACTGTGTTTATTTTTCATCCTGCTCAGATTATTATCTCTTTCATTGTCAGAATCATCTCTGTACACATATATGTCATGAGTGTACAAAAAGAGCTTTCTTACCCTTGGATAATGTCCTGAGCATCCCTCCTTGACATGTCAAACATAACCCTGATGGGAACACACGTGTAAATAGTTGTCATATTGTAATATTATTGACATATTCTAAACATTTGTTTTTACACATGAAAAATATCTATTTTGAAGGTGTAACCACTGTGAATAGACCAAAGCGAATTAACTTTTAACCTTTTTGCCCTCATGTATGTGCTTGTGTTGTTTCCTCTGTCAGTCTGTAGTGTTTGTAGTCATGTTTGTATATTTCTCTGTTGTATATTTCTTGTAAAAATGTGTTTTTAATTAAAGTCACTTCATGCAAAGTCTGATGGGTTTTTTGTAATGTTTTAAGCCAACAATTTTACAATAAGAAAAAATATAATAAGGGATTTTATTAAACCGATTATATTGACATCCCGATTTAAAGGATTCTCTTTTTACAAGATGTAAAATAATAATTCCTGCTGCTTGTTCAAACTACTTGGTTAAAATGAGCTGAAACAATGCAATTCTTGTCATTTCTTTTGCCAATTTATTTGTTTTATGTTCAGTCCACTTAAATTTGTCCACCATTAAGTTAACTTAAGCGTTTCGTGTTGGGACAACATGAAGGAATGCTTTGTGTGGGATTGAATTAAGAGAAGAAAATATTGACAATAAAAGTAATTGTAGGTGTCTAACGTTAATAGAAAGACTTGTTAGAGTTGAATCTTCACTTTAGTTTTAAGATTTAGAAGATTTTCATGTAAGACTTTGAGTTTTGAGATTCCCATCTTGTAGAAGCATCCATGTTTTGGGTGTTGGCAGCTTAATTAGCAAAAATGCAGTTCAATGCTTTGCTCAGTGAGCAATAACGTATAATTAGTTCTGAGATCAGTCTTAATTAACTGAATATGTGTTACGTGTTTATGATGGTAAATAATTAAAGGGATGATACGTAACAATCAGTGAGTCTATTGATGCTGGGTGAATGAGGAGAAGACGCATACGCTTGATAAGTGAAACAAAAAGTAAGTATTTATTAATGAATAATGTTAAACATGGAAGATAAATGTATTTTTTTAAAT